TAATTCCCAATAGTTTAACTTATTACATGCGACAAACTAATTAGGCAAACACGTTTTGATTATGCCTTTCGGTAGCCTACTACACCCTAATAGACGGACGAAAACTTTGCATTAAGACAAGAGAGAAAATTCACTCAGTGAAATAGCCCAATTTCAATATTCGATTTGATTAGACACGCACAAAAGACCTCTTCAAGAAACAAAAGAGTTTAAGTGCAATCACTTTACCGTCTCGCTTCAGGTCCACTTTTAGTACTACTTAGATTTTGTACAGTTGCACGGTTTAAAGATTACTCTAGTAAAAGCGCGGAAAATAATTAGAGTGATCGCACTTAAAGCGCCGTGCAACTGTACAAAATCCACGTAGTACTAATTAGTCGGACTAGCCGAAGGCGGGTCCGACTTTAAATTTACCTTTTAGCCAATCTATCTATCTATGTGTCATGTCGCGTTTGGACCACCGGAAGTTAAGAATTTAATAATTAACTATTGGGTTGGCTGTGTTATTACATGACCGGAAGCTCAAGCGTATTGATGTACGAATATCGTTAGTAAATGTTATATGCTACTTGGCTTTTATATGACAAAAAAACTATTCGTTTACAAATGTGGTATCTGTGATCTCATCGGAATGCGTCTGTCTAGGCATTAGAAGTTAAGAAATATTTTTATCCATGTAATATCCTGTCTTTCTCAATTTTCACAAGCAGCTAGTCCGACTTCACGCTGCCAGAGCGTCTAGTTTGTACTAAAAGTGGACCTGAAGCAAGACGGTAGAGTCATTTTCAACCGTACGTCTGTGAAATAGTAACTATTAGGGTGTAGTAGGCTACCAAATAGGCACAATTAAAACCGTGTTTTCCTAATTAGTTTGTTTATTTGAATCAATTCAGTTTATTTTACGTTCCAGATGCACGATTTACTAAATACAACTAAATAGAACTGTTTAATTAGTTTGTACAGTTGCACGGATTAAGTGCGATCACTCTACAATTGCATGGTTTAATCAATATTTTGTGCAATTTTGTGACAATTCTTTTGTTCTCTTTTGTTCAACTATCACTATTTTCACAATTTAGTAATTATTGTTTCACGCTTCGAGTAAAAGCATTCAATTTTACGTCTTACGATTAACACGTTTCACGGCTCACGGTTAACCCCATTGAGACACTATTATAACCGTCTTTTATCTGTATTCCAGACAATTTGCGGACAGCTTCAAAGATCACCCACAGGTTTTCTTTCCAAGCCATACAAAATGGTACCTTTTCAGTGGACAGCTTCTTCTTCTTAAGGTAACTCCTAACTGATACAAAACCTAATTGATAGGCAAATTAATTTGTTTGCGTATTTCCCTCAACGAGTCAACGGGCGAAGCGTCTATACCACCACTACCGTCAAAACGAAGCTTGTGATTGATCGAGACAACAAAAACAAAGAATTTACACGTCAGACCTGTCCTTAAGAAGTCAGCACTGGACCTTGAGCTGTAAGAACTATCGGCCCATCTCAAATTTACCATTTATAGCTAAATACTGCGAAAAAGTTGTTCCTCATCAATTTAATCATTTAATCAATTTAATCATTGATGTTAACCATGCACCTTTCTAATCTGCCTATAAACGCCATCATAGTACTGAAACGGCCTTACTCAGAGTTCAGAATGACATTTTACGATCTATAGATAAGAACATTGTGTCATGCTTCTACTGTTAGACTTTTCAGCAGCCTTTGACACCGTTGATCATCACATACTCCTCTGCAGAGGTCTTTTAAAATGCTTTGGAATCAAACGCCAGGCCCTTGCATGGTTTAAATCTTATCTCTGTAATCGCACACAGTTTGTCGGCATTGAACTTAGCC